GGGTGGACATAGGCTGTATATTATTCCGTTAAACATTCATATAAATTAAAAGATATAATCTAGGTTAAGGCTTTTATGTCCAACAGATGGCGCTATGAGTACGACACCCTAAGTTTGCATTTCTGTGAGGCATTATGCTTTTCTGTGAAAATGAACTAAAGCAGATCATCTTCTGTCTATTTATATAAATAAAAATGTAATGTTCGTTTATTCCTACTGATTCCTTTGAAATTTTCACACAACGCTGCATTCGAATACGCACGTGTTTTTATATAATATACATGTCTAAATTCAACCCCACTGAAGGGAGATGGTTAGGATTAAGGCTTACGGTAAAGAACTCTGCTTCTATTTATACTATTTTAGATGCAGTTTTTTGCGTTTTTGATTGCGTTTTAATAGGGTACGTCAAGAGAATGTACACTAAAAAGAAATTTTTCGAAAAATTTCCCCCATGGGGGAAGTGTTATAAATTTATAATAGATACATTTTGAGCCACAACAACGCGTGGTGGGGTCTGCTAGTATAAAATAGACTCAAAAGCATTTTGGACTCTAATTGAAATATCAACTGAAGAGGGACTATTTTAAAACTCATAAGATAAAAATACATGTTATATTAAAAGGCTGAAATAACAATGAAGACATCACAATCACAATTAAGAAACTGGCATTATCTCACAAGTGTGGTACAATAAATTCCATCTTTTTCATGTTTTCATTCCTGTTTCATGAATATTACAATATAATATTTATCATTTTATACTTCTGTATATAATGTGTTTCAGAGTGCATCTGTCTGTATTTTTTTAACAGTTTACATAAAATTATTATTATTTAATACTTTCTTTATATTATTATTTTTTATGTAATTTAAATTTCAACAGAAGATTGCTTTTTTTTTCTTTCAATATTTTTAAATTAAAAAAGCATGTTTTCTATACATTTAAACCATACAAGATTTAGTTTTGAATATAATTAACCATCTTCAAGAATATAAATCAGTTTAGCATTAAAAATATAAAAAATAGTATCCTAAAGTCTGTAATTATGAATATATTATGAGTTTATATTATTGGAGGTTGGTAACTGACAAAAATATTAGTGCTAAAATTTTAATGAACTACAGTAAAACATTTTTTTACGTATTTGATAGCTGTTAAAAAATATTAGTAATTTATTAATACATTAAATTGTTTTTTATGTTGATAGATCATATAAAATATATTTGTTTTTATAGCAATAATGTAATTTATTACTAAGTGAAGAAAAAGTATTGTTGTTATAATTGGAATTTATTATTACCATTAATTAATGTATAAAAATGAATTTTATTAAATGGCATATAAAATACATATATATTAATTTTTAAGCACAATATTTTCTAGAATTTGATTTACTGAAAACTAAGTTAATATAATTAGAACTATGTAATAACTAAAATAATGCTGTGAATGATAAAAAAAAATCTAATAATAAAATGGAATTTTTTCCTGTTTTGTTTCAGGCTTCTCATTTAATGTGGGGTATATGGTCTCTTGTTCAGTCTGCTCATTCCTGTTTAGATTTTGATTTTTTAGGGTAAATATTAATTATTTTACTAATTGCTTAATGTTTTCTTCCATTATATATAACATCACTTTATTTAAGTCATCCTGTATAGACCATAAAATAGAAGCTGATAAAATCAAAATAAAGATTAATTGTTACTGAAAAACATTGAATGTTCCTGAGTAATAATTAATTCTAATAAAAATTTAATTCTAATTAATAATTAATTCTAGTAAAAATTTAATTTTAATAAAAATATTATAGAAGAAAATATTTTTTATGACATTAAAAGAGTTATATTATTGATATAGATTAACAATTCTTTAAAAACCAAATAATTTTTTAAATTCTTACAATAACAATAAATAATTGTTTTATTTAATTCAAGAAACAAGTGAATTTTTTTTATTTTAGAATATATTTCCAAACCAAAATTAATTTTGAATTTTTTTTTAAAAATTAAAGTGCAATATGTGCAGAATTTTTCTTTTCCTTTGATATAAATTTTGAAATGCAAGTTTTTATTTACCACAAATTTCTATTAATTATAAAAATATTAGTAGTCTTTTTTTAATTTAGTAAAATTCAGTTTAAAAATATATTAAAATATTTTCTTTGTTCAGTAATGTTTTAAATTTACTAATTTATATCTGTGAAGAATAATAATATTTTTTTTCAATAATAGTTTAAAAAAACAATGATCTTGAGTAATAATATCCTTAACATAATTTTTTTACTAAATTACTAATGTTAACAAAAACAATTGATAGCCAAAAATAAATATTATTTTAGAAATACCTTTACCTAAAAAAAAAGATTTTTTTTTAAATTTTGATTACTACCATGATTAAAGAATCAATCTATTAGCAAATATTTAAAATCATAAGTTTTAATCAAGATTGCTTAGTCAGTTTTATATTTTTTGAAAAAAAATACATTGAATACATCTGCATTTAGATAATATTTGAATGTTTCATTAAATAATTAGTAACCAGTGAAACATTTTAAATCACATCACTTAATTTCATTTGTATATATTCTATACTATTAATAAAATTATCTCTAATAATTCATGTTTTTAAATTACTTATAATAATTTATTAAAATAAATGAATGTACTTTAACCTTTAGATATAATTGAAAATATTTAAATTAATAAAATTATATAATGTGTACTTTCAATAATAATAATAAGTCTTCTCTTTTCTACAAAAGACAAGATAGTAAATTGTTATAAATACAATGCTGTAATTTAAAAAGCTTTATCAAGCTTTATAAGTGTTTATCAAAGTATTAAAATTTAAATTTTGAAAATGTTGAGATGCTTCAAAATGTCAGAAAAATAATTCTTTTTTTAAAGTTGTTGTATAATATTTACAACAATTTTGTCTTTTATAAAAAAAAAAGAGAGAAGACATATTAATTCTAAATTTATATTCAATCACAATAAGTAATAAAACAAACTTCTTACTGTATAGAAGTCTTTCCATAAAATTTTAATAAATGCTTTGAGTATAAATAAATAAAATATCTCAAAAGTAATGCTATATGACACATACAAGATTACTACTTCCAACAAAACAATTAATATGCCACATAAAAACAGAAATAACATATTATGAAGAAAAAATAATAATAAAATACATATATAAATTATTAAAAAGTAAAAAAAAAGTACAAAAAAGGTATAACAAGTATGAAATTTGTATAATATAAACTTATAAAATAAAAATAAAAAGGACTCCACATTTAAATTTGCTTAACGGCATGATAAAAGAACAACCACCTTTTTGATATTTTTCTCATCTTCATATATAAAACAAATTATCAACTACATTCAGAGTAACTCAAACTTATCCATTACTTGAAGATTTTTAATGTTTTAAACTTTTGGTTTCTTACCAGTTTCCAAAAAACCAAAATAGACTTTTCCTGATTATTTAATAAAATAAAAGCAAAATATTATAAACATGTTTTTAAGCTGAGCTTCCATATACATGGGTGCAGTACAACTCCCTCTGACCTTTGTTAACTAGATTATCTTTACTATTTGCTATTCTTAGAAGAGGAACTGGATACACCCGACATATCATTGCAGATACATCCAACTCTTTCTCGCAGGTTAAGGAAAGCTACGTTCAACCATAGATATAGGTAATGTCTTGAAGAAATACTTAATTGATTATGAAAAAGAACACAAAATTATAGTTTTGTTTGAAAAAAAATTCTGTGAAAAATTCAATTTTAGTTATGTGAAATTGGTAAGAAGCCAAGAAATTAAAACATTGGAAAATACTCAAGTGTTGATTTAAATTTATGTTGAATAAATTCAACATTGTAAATTCATTTTAGTTAAAAAAAAATCTTGAAAACATTTACCAAAATTTTATAGAAAAAGTTTTTTAAAGAAGTTTAATTTTATTATTTGGGTAGTTTTGTTGAAGGAGTTGAATAGAATGTCAAGTATTCATTTAGAATAAACTGATCCATAATTATTTAAAGGAATTACATATGAAACACATTGAAAATAGAATAAAAATATATAACTGTGTCTAAATATTATCATTTATTTGAATAAATGAATTATAATTTACGTAATTTAAATTATTTGTTACTTTTTTATTCCATAAATCTGTAAATTAAATGATATATTACAACTTCTTGAAGATCACTTAAATTTTTTTTAAATTTAAGTGATCTTCAATTAAATTAAGCACAGCCATTTATTAGTGTTATAAACTAATATGTATAATATAGATATGAGTAAATTAAAGATATATTAATATAAAGATACTAATTAAAGATAATTAGGCAATAATATATTGTATATAAGTAAACTGAAGAGATTCCTTTGACTGAAATGATTAGAGAACACAACACTAATAAATATTTTCAGAGTAATAATTATTTTGTGATTTATTCATTGTTGTTGATTCTGTCCTAAAATTAGATGTTATATATTTAGAAATTACCATGTGTACTCAAATAATTCATATCCTTGAATAATTCCATACATCCCATTTTTTTAAGATAATGGATTAAAAAAACTGTTCAGTTTAATTTAATACATATTTAACAAATTTTACTAATTCGTGTTTGTAACACAAAACCTTTACTCTAGCTATTTTGTAGCATTTAATATGACAGCCTCAGTTTACAAGTCCACCTAGTATTAGAATATAACTTGTGTTTTTTCCTTGGTATTTTTATTTGTGTGTCTGATAAATTATCCGTTAATTATAATAATGTATTTTATAATGAATTAACCTACTAATTAAATGAAAGTAAGATCTCTACATTGTTTAATTTGAATTGAAGGTGAAAAGCTGCTAATAGACCAATAGCTTAAACTAAGCAAATAATGTTTATACCTCTATCAGTCTCATTTGTACATTTAACTTATTTTATTTGCCCTTACTTTCATGAAATTAGTCACACTAAAATGTTTCATAATATTACTTGTGACTATTGACTATATTTATCATTGAAAAATAAGCAAAATACATAATAACTGGTAACTGAAAGCTCCCTGCACTTCACAAGTTGGACTTTGAGTAAACTTCACACTGACTTTTTGTCATGATTTTTTGGAAAGAGATTGCATATTATTCAAGTAAATACAATAACAGTGGGGAATTAATGAATTAATTAATTTATGATACTAAATGATGATATATAAAAATGATAAAAATATAAATGCAAATAGAATCAATAACAGAACACTTTTATATTCCAGCAACAAATTTTAAGTAAAAAATAAATACATTAATTTATTAAAAAAAAAGAGCCAATGCTATAAAAGGCTTCTTCAGGTTATAAAAATCAAATAAAAACTAATAAACAAATAAAAAAGAATTTAATATTTAATAGTATAATATCCTACGTATGTACCTCTGTAATTCTATGTAATTATTCCATTTGTCTAACATAGAAACAAAGTGTTCCAATACAGCTTCAGGGATAACTTTGTATAAGGAATCTAATGGTAGTTGAAAGTCACAATAGTGGTGACATCTTTGATAGCCAAAATTAGAACTGATGCTATCTGAAAGGCTTCAGAGGTAAATTTTAATGAATTGTTTTAAAGGAGTTTAAATGTGGTTGCCATAGAAAGTGCATGTTCTAGATAAAACATGCACTTTTATGGTAACCACATCTAAATTCAAATTTTCTTTTAGAACATTATCACTTAATTGTTAAATTTTAATACTGTTTCAAAAAATACTCTATATTCAATTCCTGGATAACTCTGGAACAAACCAGTAGATGATGACAAGACTTTTTTGGAAAATGTCATAAAATAAATTTTATAGTTTAATAAAACTTGTTTAGTTTAGTAAAAATCGATTTTTCATTTCTTTTCTTGTCGTTTTTGACAGGTTATAGCTAAATATCTTGTCCAGTTTAAGATTAATTTTGTGTATTTAACACAATGGAAATCCAGAATAAAAACACAGAAATAATTTATAAAAGAATAATATTGCATTGACTGAAATTAAAATTTTTATTAAGAAAAAGAAGAAATTTAAATTGTAATACAAAAAATGCTTAAAATTCTTTGCCTGAAGATGGCTATTGCTAAATATGTCAAAAGTGCTTGTGTTGATGATGATAACTGTTTAATGCCAATAGGCAGTAGTTATTTTTTGTTTTAATGGAAAAAATGCTTATTTAGCCTGTCTATTGAGATAATATTGAAGAATAATAAAAAAATTCAATTCTAGGAGTGAATGAAATCTTTATTGATATTGAAAATATTGATTTTTTTTTAATACAATGTTTGTATTCATTTTTATCAGCTTGAGTAAAATAATATCAGAAAATATTAAAATCTGATTGCTAAGATGCATTTGCTTTCATTAAAATAAAAATTAAAATTAGTATATTTTATTCTAATAAACTAACTCTAAATGCTATCTGTCTTTTCTTCATCTTGCAGCTGGGATGTTTGTTAGAATGCACTTACTGTTAGAAGGCAAACTGTTTCTGTTCTTCAGAAATTAAGTGAAACTGTTATTAAAGAGGAACTGTCAATAGAATATAGCCCATAATTTTTTTTTTCTCACTTTATTGGGCTGCAATTTGAAAAAATTGTAGATCTATAAATTCCCATTGTCATCTGTCCATGCATCTTTCCTTAATCTCAAACAGACTTAGATAGACAAGACCAAATATGGAAACCTTAGGGGCAGGAGGCCCGTTTAACTATATATGAACTTCCAATGCAAAGCAGCAGTCATGTTATTTCAATTCAAAAATTTTTCCCTGAAAGGAGTTAGAAGATGACTGACACGACTCTATTGTTAAAGGAAAAGTATGATGTACAGGGGTAAGTTACTACTAATTTGAGGTGGGGAGCATATATTTTAAATTAAATAAATAAAAAATATGATTAAAAATTGCAGCCTGGCATTGTGACATTGTCACAATAAATAACTGCTNATAAATTAGTAAAAATTAAAATATTAATTATATTTTAAAAATGTATATAAATTACAAACCCGAAGATGCATAATCCCCTGGATGAACGTATCCTCCTTTGGAAGCATGACACAAATATAATTTCATTTACTTTAAGGTTTTAAAATATGTAACTTTAAAACTATCATTACTATTGATTTTTATTATAACTTGGTACTTTTTATATATACATGTAAAAATATTTCAGCATATCAAATATTTATATTATACTTCCTCTGTTCCAAAGTAGTTGCCATATTTACACTTTTTCTTTTAAATACTCCAACATTTATTCAAGTTAGTTGTTTATTGTTGTCATAAAAACTTCATACATTAACAAACAGAACTAAACTATCAAATGCATTTAATTATAGTTTGTGTCAAAGATAAATAAGCAATTATTTATTGTGACATTGTCACAATGCCAGGCTGCAATTTATAAATAAATAAGTGCTCGTTATTATTCAAATAACAATGCACAATCAATACATTTGCACTTTTTTTCAACATTTAGTAAGAGAGACAACACTAAATAGAATATTCAATTTTTCCATTTACAATAAGCCTTATCTTCCTTCAATAGACAATGCACTTATTAATAAAAGAGCATTGTATGTAATTTGTTTTTCATCCCTCATAACTGCACTGTTTATTAAGGATACTTACTATTAGAGTGCTGTTTATTAAAATAAATACAATATCTAATACATATATAAAATTGATTTTTGTACTACAGTAAGTTTATAATATAAACAAATTGAAATTTGATAATGAATAGTTTTCTAAAAAGAAATGTAATGATAAAGTTTAAAACATATGTACAATATACAGAATTATTTTCAATTAAAATTACATTATATTAAATTGGAAAATATTCAGACTTTTTCTGAGAATTGTTGAATACACAAGTTTAATTAACACAATATACTTGTATAGAAAGTGATTGCTTAACTTATATATTTCTCACATTCACAGAAAATATTTATACAATATGAGTTCTATTTACAAGTATTTCTGTGAGAGTTAAATATTGATCAATGCTTATTGTATTGAAGAAAACAAAGTATTTTAGTCAAGTGTATGATGAGATTGAAATTCCTGCACATTCCAATTAGATGGCTCGTAGGTTCTGGTCTTGTTTTTTTTTCTCATTATGTTTTTGTTTGCAAAACAACAGATGTCATTATTCATCTCTGAAGACTTATAATAATCAACTTGTTTCTCCAAAGAAACATATCTTCTTTTCTCCTTGTGATTAAAATTTTATTTAAATAAAATATAATTGTTTATTAATTTTTTTTGTTTGTTTTCTGCTTGCTTTATTGTCTTAACTATTGTTTTTTTACCATTAAATGAAGAAATATCAGATATCTTACATGTTTGCTTTTTTTAATGTCATATTCACTTCTCTCATTTCATATTTGCTCTTTTTATATTAGTGAATAACCAATCAAAACATTCATTTAATTTATTTTCATTTCATGTAGAATCATTGGTTAACATTAAAGTATTTTATAACACTTTAATGTTATTTGATGAAGATGGTTAGAATGACTGTTATACAAATTTTTATTCTAAGAATTAATAGAAAAGTTCATCCCTATTTGATATTTTGATTTATGAGAAGTTTCAGAAACAAAGTATGCTCATATATCAGGGTTATACTGTACAGTACATGAATTTGCATTTTTTTAATGCTATAAAAACATTTCTAGAATATTTACTTTAGTAATATTCTATTTCTTTACATCTTAAACATGCTATGATTAGAAGAATTTTATAATTGGTTTAACTGTTCATAATATAAGAGACAATTAAAAAACTGTATTCCAATTCAGTTTCTTAGATTGAAAAATTTGGCAAAATTTACTATATTATATTTTTGTTCTAACAGATTCTAATCAATCAGTTCATTATTGACATAGGAAATTGTTTTTCTATCTGGGATAGGAACATACATAGTTAAAAATACAAAATTTAGTAAATTAAAAAAGAAAATTTCCAAATAAAGTTAAACAATCTTAACAAATAATTAAATTTTCCAAATGAATTTGAAATACTTTAGCTGTTTACTTAAGCAGATTTAAATTTCTTAATTTTAACGAATGAATTTATAGATGAACAACAATTTAAAATTAGCAAAATCAAACAGATATCCAAACAACATAACTATACTATGAATAAAATTATTCAGTTTTATAAGAATTGTGTTAACAGTAACTGTATTTGTTTTTAGTAAAGTGTAGATTTTATAAACAAAAAGTTAATTAAAAATATTACTGATGGTTTGTTAATCATCAGTAATATTTTTAATTAGTATGCTTAGTAATCAATTTTGTATAAATAAAATATTGTGTTTAATAAATGTATGAAAAATCATTGTTTTTAATGTTAGTCTTAAAGAACTTATTTTATGATACTGTGAGTGAAAATAAAATATTATGTATATTTTATGTCACAAAATTAATATAGTAAAACTTGGAAATTGGTTATGTTAAATTACTTATTGTACTAATAGGTCAGTTAATATTAGTTTAAACAATAGTTTTCTGCATTAAACTTTTTATTATATTTGGTGCTTTCTGCTTACATCTTGCATTTTTTATATCAGAAATTTTTCAGGAAGTAAAAGTTTCAAGAAGTCCTGGAAGAGTTCCTTTGCATACTGTTTATGTTCTTGAAATACTTAATTCATTAAAGAGGAACATAAGTCCTATTGAAGATCTCTTTTAGAAATGTTTTCAGGACATCTTAAAATCAGAATTTTAACTTTAAAATCATTAAATTTTAGAGCTGGAACCTGATTGCAGATGTTTAATATTCATATACTTTAGGTATAATCTGTTTTAGATGACTATCTTTAAAAGATTTCCTATTTTTTAAGGATATCATTGAACTTCCAGTGAATCTCTTAAATTTCAAAAAATTTAAAAAGAAAGATTGGAATTTGAATGAAAATATCAAATTATTGAATAATTTATTGTATGAGAAACAACAATAAAGTTATTGATAAAATTCATTCTTGAGTAACAAAATTAGTAAAATTTTACAGCAAAAAATGATAATTATACTTCCTTGTCTTTGGATGCTGGAAAATATTCATTGTATTTTAACTGATTTTGAACACAATGAAGAACACTTTTTTTAGTGTAAATATGAGTTACAACCATTGCAACCATACATTTCAGTATAACTTACCATTTAGTAGTCTCTGCAATCTACAGGCAGCAAGAATTTTACAATTTTATATATTTTTAAAAAATTTTGTGACAATCATCAATTGAACTAACCTGCTTTTGTAAATATGCACATTAAAATATGGATAAAATAGATAATAAAGAAAATTAATTCCTTAAGCATATTCCTGTTTCTGTATATTAGTCTGTCAATGATAACTGTACTTAGTAGCTGTATTGAATCTTGATTGATGGCAGAGAAGTTGAGGTATCAGCCTCATCTTTGGGACCTGGGAATGAATCCAGATGGGTTGAAAAACCTCAAAATTTTGGGGGTCTGTCCTAGATATGTTGGATTTTCCTGTACCACATGACTGCTCCATTGTGGGCCTGGCAAAACACATGATATGCTTGATTAAAAGTAAAAAAATAGGATAAATGGTATTTTTTAATTTTAGTAAAAATGAAAAAAATTTTGAAGCTTTATAAAAATTTTATTTTTAATAGTACAAGCATTACCATAGTTGCAATATCAATAAAAAAGTATCATTATTGTAAGTTATATAATTAGTATGTAATACATCATAGCTGTCCAATTATATCAGTATATAAGATATTAATCTAGCAATTAAGTTGTTATAATTTTTTTGTAATCAAATTTTCAAAAAAGAATTAATTACTATGGAATGAATGTATAATCTTTTTTATATAGTCTGGCTAAAAGATGAATTATAATTTTTGATATATTATAAAGCTTGGAAGAGTGATGTGTCTTTCCATTTGAAATGCATAACATAAAAGATGATTTAATGGTCTTGGTCTTTTTTTAAAGAACAGATATAGAAGAGATGATAGCATTTAGCTAGAATATATAATCAAATTTTATTTACATTATATTTTAAAAACTGCTTTTTTATAGTTATTAAATTTTATTTTTATTTTTATAGGAGTAGATACTTTTGTGCCTGAAAACTATCCAGATCGTAGCTTTCAAATTCAGTGGTTACAAAAATATTTAGAAGCATCATATGCACTAAAATACAAAGACAGAAGAGAAATAACCAATGATGAAGTTGAGGTGCTTTATATTCAAGTCAATAAATTTGCATTGGTTAGTTACACATTTTATTAATTTTATTTGATTTTTTTTTTTATTTGTTAAAATTGGTTTATTTAATCAGTTAAGTTTGTGAATCAATAAACACCCAAAATGTAAATTTTGGTATTTAAAACAAATTTATCCACAAGAAACTCAAGATTCAGAAGAAAAAAAAAATATGTTTAGCTGTGAGATTTAAATTTATTCTTTTAACAATAAGATAAATTAAGATATTCTAAGTAATTTTTCTNATAAATGTATGAAAAATAATTTAAATATCTTTAGAATATATAAGTGAATATCTTATTGCACTAATTATTTTTCTTGAATATTCACTGTTAGAGCTGAATAATTACTACAAACAAAAATATAAATTTATTGTTAGTATTACAGATTAGAATTCTCAATATTCATAATTATGTTTAAACTGTTTTTTTTTGTTTGTATAAAATTAAGAACATTTTTAAGAAGTCTGTTTAAAATTATTTTCTTAAAGCAAAAGATAATTTGAAAACTTCTAAAAAGAAGTTGAGTATTTTTAGAAAATAATATGAGCATTATATAATTTTCGATATGTTAATTCTTATAATTTAAACAGAAGATTAATGTGGATATTGGATGTTTCTCTGATATTTTAAATTTATAAGAAAAATGACATTTAAAGAAGAAAAACTATTTTGTATTTAAAAGAAAAATACTTAAATATATGAAGGTAATCCCTAAAGTAAGGTCTCCTATTTTTTTGTAAATACAAAGAGAGACCTTACTTTTGGGATTACCCTCATATTTAGAGAATATTTTTTGAAAGAAAGTAATGCAAATGAAAAAAATATTTGAAGAACTATGTCAATAATAATAGTATGTAATTGCTGTTATTGAAAAAAAATTAAATATTTTATGTATAAGTACTGTACATCAATTCTTCCATCTTTTAGAAAAGTTTGTAAAAGGTTAAAGAATTTATAGTTTAGTTAAAACTATGAAATATGATTTTAAATATCCCTAATTTAATGTATTTTAAATTGTTATCGACAGCAGTTAAAATTATCTCTTCCATTTGTTAAAGAAATACTTCATTTTACCTTATTTTAAAGTTTAAAATTATATATATATATAATTTAAGCTTTAAAATGTATATTTATAGTGAGAATTAAAGAAATGACAGCAACAATATTACAGTAATACTGTAATAAAGAAATGAGGTATCATAAGTGTGGTGACTACATTAATTTGTGATTAAACATATAAACTGCATTCAGTTGATTGCAAAAATAGGTTCAGTTTATTTTAAATTCAATTTTCACAACGTATTCATATTTAATCTTTATGAAAGGCATTTCTAAGAATTTTAAGTCCTTAATGGTAATATCTAATGGTATTGTTTATCTCTTCTGGCATCTTAAAGGATATTTGAGAACACTTGCTAAAACGATATCATTTTATTGCTTGTTTTCAACAAATTCAGAGACATTTTGGATTTTAGATTTCATAATGAGTTAATACTGTATGGTGAATTTGTGATGGAAGTGACAGTTTTATTTTATATAAAATGTATAATTTTCTAACCCTTAAATAATAATTATCAGTTTGTAAAATCCCAAATATGAAAAGACAAGCTAGCATTCAGAAGACACATCTATTGATGTCAAAAATCTAGAAACAATAATCATTATTAACTGTAAATTAGCAGATAATTTTAATTATGGAATAATAATAATAATAAACTATTTTAGATGCGGGTTTTTGCGTTTTTGATTGCGTTTTAATAGGGTACGTCAAGAGAATGTACACTAAAAAGAAATTTTTCGAAAAATTTCCCCCATGGGGGAAGTGTTATAAATTTATAATAGATACATTTTGAGCCACAACAACGCGTGGTGGGGTCTGCTAGTATAAAATAGACTCAAAAGCATTTTGGACTCTAATTGAAATATCAACTGAAGAGGGACTATTTTAAAACTCATAAGATAAAAATACATGTTATATTAAAAGGCTGAAATAACAATGAAGACATCACAATCACAATTAAGAAACTGGCATTATCTCACAAGTGTGGTACAATAAATTCCATCTTTTTCATGTTTTCATTCCTGTTTCATGAATATTACAATATAATATTTATCATTTTATACTTCTGTATATAATGTGTTTCAGAGTGCATCTGTCTGTATTTTTTTAACAGTTTACATAAAATTATTATTATTTAATACTTTCTTTATATTATTATTTTTTATGTAATTTAAATTTCAACAGAAGATTGCTTTTTTTTTCTTTCAATATTTTTAAATTAAAAAAGCATGTTTTCTATACATTTAAACCATACAAGATTTAGTTTTGAATATAATTAACCATCTTCAAGAATATAAATCAGTTTAGCATTAAAAATATAAAAAATAGTATCCTAAAGTCTGTAATTATGAATATATTATGAGTTTATATTATTGGAGGTTGGTAACTGACAAAAATATTAGTGCTAAAATTTTAATGAACTACAGTAAAACATTTTTTTACGTATTTGATAGCTGTTAAAAAATATTAGTAATTTATTAATACATTAAATTGTTTTTTATGTTGATAGATCATATAAAATATATTTGTTTTTATAGCAATAATGTAATTTATTACTAAGTGAAGAAAAAGTATTGTTGTTATAATTGGAATTTATTATTACCATTAATTAATGTATAAAAATGAATTTTATTAAATGGCATATAAAATACATATATATTAATTTTTAAGCACAATATTTTCTAGAATTTGATTTACTGAAAACTAAGTTAATATAATTAGAACTATGTAATAACTAAAATAATGCTGTGAATGATAAAAAAAAATCTNTTCTGAATTTATACCATCCCAGCACCTCCTGAAAGAAAATATAGTAAAAAATATAAAATTTTGTTTTATCATATATCATTTATATTCATTAAAAATTATTATTATTTTTGTTTTATCTTTATATTTATTGTAAAATATGACTTATCTGAATAAATAGTATAAAAAAAATTAAGATAAAATTTACGAATACACATTCAAACATCTGCTTTAAAAAAATCCAGCAACAAGTTGCCTAAAGCTTAGTTCACACTGAGCGTGATTCGCTAGCGAAAGCGAAAAACAGAACGAATAACCCGTCAAACATGACTTGTTTGACGGGTTATTCGCTCTGTTTTTCACTTTCACTAGTGAATTGTGCTCAGTGTGAACTAAGCTTCATTTTCCCAGCAATATTTAAAATTTTGATGGTGCCATCTGTTGTGATATTTTATTAAAAACTTTTTATATTTTTAATTACTGCAAAATGGCAAAAAGCTTAATTTTCAGAGTAGGGATGAGTTTTATAAATATTGCAAATGCTAATAATGAGTAAAATTGCAATTAAGTCTGACCCTACTCAAGGTATGATACACAATCCCCTTTATCTTGCCACCCCCTCAACCTTTTACCACCAAAATTTAATAGCATCTAATTACTACCCCTAATACACAAACCTCCCTGCAAAATTTCAGAAATTTGAGAAAAAGGATGGGCATTATTAAGCTTCAAAAAGAGTGAATAAAATAGTGTCCCTTCACACACTAACATCCATACAGAAAAAAATTTTTTTTTTTGCATTTCTCAGTTTCAATGTCCCAAATCTAAAATTCTTGGCAGGGGTCACCTTTTGACTGATTGCATTGCTTTCCCTCTATTATATATAACAGTGCCAGGAAAGTAAAATATACTAAGCAAAGAAAAAAAATTTCATCATCTATTTTTGTTGTTAAGTTCCATCAAGTCGTCGTCGACTCCTGGTGACTGCATGGACAAGTCTTTTCTTGTCCATGTAGTTTTCTTGGCAAGAGTTGAGGAAGTGGTTTGCCATTGCCTTCTTCCTTGAATGATGTGTCACGCACGCGTGGGGAAAGAATGCCTTCCGGGAGGACTTTTATGGGAAACTGGCCTCCTATTTAGTCGTTATTGGCAAGGAGAAAACCCGGAAAACTCCAAGCAGCCAGCCTGTCCGATCGCAGCACGAACCCACAACCGAACTTCCCCGTGTTTAGGGTCCAGTCACCAACGCTATGAGCGGCAACGGAGACCACTCGGCCACTGGTGGGCCCATCATCTATTAGCCTATTGTAAAACCAAATTTTACCATAGCTAATAGATATAAACAATAATTAAGTTTCTATGGCATTTCTTTCTGTCAAAAAAATATCACCAAACTTCTAGATAAAAACATAAAACATTTCAATATTAAAAACACAAATAAATATGAATTGTACTGTACATGCATTTAAAAAATATATATTTTTTCCCATTTTTGACACTTTTCCCATGGGAACTAAGAGGACCTTTTTCCATGGTTATGGGTTTGTCCAGGCTTACAAGAAAGAACTATCCCTTCCACTTGGTCACCTAACATATCTGGGATAGACCACTAATGAAAACTTTCCAGGGATTTTCATTTGCTAGGTTTTGATCTTAGGTCTCAGAGAGTATCTGCTGCCTTAGCCACCTTGGCCATCCAGCCAGTAGGATAATTACCCAACTTTTGGATAATCAGTGAATGAAGAAAGTTGTAATAAAGATGTACAGTACTTACAGGGATAGATGCTTATCCTCATTGTTGGTGATAGATAAATATGAATATTAAAGAATAAATATTTGCTAAGCATAAATTGTAAGGCAAATACCATCACGTAGTTCAAAAATAAACAAGCAATTCCAACAGGTTAGAGAATACATAAAAATCTAAAATGGCAAATGTAAAGAGAGAAAGTTCATTTACAATTTAAATGATATAGTATGTTGTTAATGTAATGTGAATGTGGATGTAAGTTCAACAATAATTGTAAATGATTACAAATGTATTTTTCTCATCAAACTTAAACAATTTTAAGTGAGGAATTACTATACAAAATAAAAATTTGAAATTAAATCATTCTTACCTTATGCCTTCCTTGTAAAATATAATCAAGTGCTTGTTGCTTAATTGCTCCACTGCTGTCATAAAAAGAAAATGGTTTTTCACAAGGCACAATTGTGTAAATATCTGGGAGAAAAAAATATATATATTAAAAAGTATTAGAGAGCAGCTAACCTAAACAAGAAATTGCTATAGAATAATTTTATACTTCAAAATAAAAGCAAATGAAATCTTACTTAAACTGGTTTCTTCTTTTTCGCTACATATTTGCGAGTCGCTGATTGTATCAGTAATATGACTTATTACTTCTCCTAGAAGAAAACCTTCCTAAAATAATAATATTTGACGAAAGTTAATTTCAAATGTTTTCAGATTTTTACATGTTTTTAGTTCTTATCTTTTTCCCTCATTAAAAATGATTTGGATAGATGATTTCCCATTTGTCTCTATAAAAACACATACTTTGAATCAGTAAAACAATTGAATGAAAATATATGTAACTGAAACATAGTATGTAAGTTGGAACATTAGGCTTCAATAAAGCAACTACAACAGGAGATTAATAACAAAATCTACAAAAAAGTTAGTTTATCAACTCTAAATATTAAAATATATATATCATCAACAATTTGAACAGTTAACATTCACTGTGTTGTATACAATTATTTATAAAAGTATAAGAATTAAAAACATTTAACTATTTGAAATTATTCAAATATTTAATGTAACAAAATATATTTGAAACATTTATTCTATCATTCATTATGATAGAAATTAAAAAATGTTTCCATAATGTCTTTAATATGAAACTATAAAATTATTTCATTTAACTTTTTTCAATCAATCATTCTGTACAGTAGAGCGTCAATTATCCAAATCAATTGGGGACTGGGGTTGTTTGGAAAATTGATTTTTCGGATAACCGATTATGTACGAAAAAATACATTATTAATATATTACTAATATTACTACTATATATTACTAATATTATTATTAATATTACTAATATTACTAATATATTACTAATATTACTAATATGTATAACCTAATAATAGCATATTAATATATCCCATGTTTAAATTTTCTCTGTTGCCTGTCACTTCGCACTGAATTTTTGTCTATGTTAAGCCTAATGACTTTCTTTATTAATTAATTAAGCTACAGGTAGATTAATAAAGAAAGTCTGTTTTCTTTAAGAACTTTTTCCTCAATTCTTGTGTAAAAATCATAACATCAGTATAATTATCCTGTTAATAATTAATGTCCATGTTGACAAACATATAATAAAAAATTAAATAAGGACAGTAAGGCAATAATAATAATAAAATAAATTATACTTTAGAAGTTAATCTAGTATTGAAAATTTTCAATTCAGCATGCCAATGTTTCAGTTGATCAGCATTCAAATAATCAATGCTCTACATGTACTTCTAATGAAAAAATATTTTATAAACTATATCTATAAATTAGAATATATTTTCAATTTCTTCATTGAAAAGAGATCATCTCTTCCATCCCCAGATTTAAAAATATATAAAATAAAATACAAATGTATTTTTTTTACATATTTTATTCATAATTCCACAGCCACCACTAATGTGACATCAATAATAATCACCATAAATCTGCTGGCACTGTTAAAGCAACATGCATTACTATGACAATACTGGTATATAAAATTATGAATGCAAAGCAGTATATAATTTTTTTATGTAGAAAATATTAAATAAGCAAATATTTATTGTGACATTGTCACAATGCCAGGCTGCAATTTATAAATAAATAAGTGCTCGTTATTATTCAAATAACAATGCACAATCAATACATTTGCACTTTTTTTCAACATTTAGTAAGAGAGACAACACTAAATAGAATATTCAATTTTTCCATTTACAATAAGCCTTATCTTCCTTCAATAGACAATGCACTTATTAATAAAAGAGCATTGTATGTAATTTGTTTTTCATCCCTCATAACTGCACTGTTTATTAAGGATACTTACTATTAGAGTGCTGTTTATTAAAATAAATACAATATCTAATACATATATAAAATTGATTTTTGTACTACAGTAAGTTTATAATATAAACAAATTGAAATTTGATAATGAATAGTTTTCTAAAAAGAAATGTAATGATAAAGTTTAAAACATATGTACAATATACAGAATTATTTTCAATTAAAATTACATTATATTAAATTGGAAAATATTCAGACTTTTTCTGAGAATTGTTGAATACACAAGTTTAATTAACACAATATACTTGTATAGAAAGTGATTGCTTAACTTATATATTTCTCACATTCACAGAAAATATTTATACAATATGAGTTCTATTTACAAGTATTTCTGTGAGAGTTAAATATTGATCAATGCTTATTGTATTGAAGAAAACAAAGTATTTTAGTCAAGTGTATGATGAGATTGAAATTCCTGCACATTCCAATTAGATGGCTCGTAGGTTCTGGTCTTGTTTTTTTTCTCATTATGTTTTTGTTTGCAAAACAACAGATGTCATTATTCATCTCTGAAGACTTATAATAATCAACTTGTTTCTCCAAAGAAACATATCTTCTTTTCTCCTTGTGATTAAAATTTTATTTAAATAAAATATAATTGTTTATTAATTTTTTTTGTTTGTTTTCTGCTTGCTTTATTGTCTTAACTATTGTTTTTTTACCATTAAATGAAGAAATATCAGATATCTTACATGTTTGCTTTTTTTAATGTCATATTCACTTCTCTCATTTCATATTTGCTCTTTTTATATTAGTGAATAACCAATCAAAACATTCATTTAATTTATTTTCATTTCATGTAGAATCATTGGTTAACATTAAAGTATTTTATAACACTTTAATGTTATTTGATGAAGATGGTTAGAATGACTGTTATACAAATTTTTATTCTAAGAATTAATAGAAAAGTTCATCCCTATTTGATATTTTGATTTATGAGAAGTTTCAGAAACAAAGTATGCTCATATATCAGGGTTATACTGTACAGTACATGAATTTGCATTTTTTTAATGCTATAAAAACATTTCTAGAATATTTACTTTAGTAATATTCTATTTCTTTACATCTTAAACATGCTATGATTAGAAGAATTTTATAATTGGTTTAACTGTTCATAATATAAGAGACAATTAAAAAACTGTATTCCAATTCAGTTTCTTAGATTGAAAAATTTGGCAAAATTTACTATATTATATTTTTGTTCTAACAGATTCTAATCAATCAGTTCATTATTGACATAGGAAATTGTTTTTCTATCTGGGATAGGAACATACATAGTTAAAAATACAAAATTTAGTAAATTAAAAAAGAAAATTTCCAAATAAAGTTAAACAATCTTAACAAATAATTAAATTTTCCAAATGAATTTGAAATACTTTAGCTGTTTACTTAAGCAGATTTAAATTTCTTAATTTTAACGAATGAATTTATAGATGAACAACAATTTAAAATTAGCAAAATCAAACAGATATCCAAACAACATAACTATACTATGAATAAAATTATTCAGTTTTATAAGAATTGTGTTAACAGTAACTGTATTTGTTTTTAGTAAAGTGTAGATTTTATAAACAAAAAGTTAATTAAAAATATTACTGATGGTTTGTTAATCATCAGTAATATTTTTAATTAGAATAATAAAAAAATTCAATTCTAGGAGTGAATGAAATCTTTATTGATATTGAAAATATTGATTTTTTTTTTAATACAATGTTTGTATTCATTTTTATCAGCTTGAGTAAAATAATATCAGAAAATATTAAAATCTGATTGCTAAGATGCATTTGCTTTNTTATACTGTATGTTATCATCTTTTTAACAGTATACAAATCATGTTTTAAATTGCAAAATTATATATGAATTTTGAAACATCTAATTTTACCTCTTGAAACAGCTTAGTGTAAAATATTTTAAATTACAATTTACTTTGTCACTTTAAGAAAATGTGTGCTTTATTTAAAAGATTTAAAAATATAAATTTAATACACGTATAATTTATTTAGGCATATGTAGTTTAGATACAGCAAGAACATATTACACGATATTGTATGTGTATTTCAATATCTTTAAATTCTGTTCAGCTTTATACTTTATCCATATTTTAAGTTAAACTTGAAAATAATTTGTTTATTTGTATCATAAAAATGTATTAAAAAATCCAGTTTTAGGGCATGTATAAATGGTTTTAGGGCATGGACCATTTATACATGCCCTAAAACTGGATTTTTGACATATTGCTATTGAATTTTTATACAGTTTACTAAAATAAACATAACTGATAAACAATTATTAATAAATATGATCAACCATGATTATAAATTTACTATTATACATAATTGATCAATATATATTTTCTTGTTTACAATTCAAAAGCTAACAAATGTGATATAGTAGAGCATCGATTATTCAGGACTGATAATCGATTTTTTGGATAAACCGATTATGCACAAAAAAATATATACAGTAAATGTATTCCATGTTGAAATTCATTCAAATCCTGGCATGTCCTTAATACCTTCTCATAGTCGTGCCAGTGCTGCCAGCTAAAACACGCACACCAACAAAAATAATATTGGAATTGCCCAAGACATAGCCAAATATTGCAGTGCCACAGCACTAGTGGAAATTTAAATTTGCCGACTGGAATGCTTTCAGTTAACCAATGTTACAGTTGATCGATATTTGGATAATCGATGCTCTGCTGTATTGCATTATGAAAGAAAAAATAGGGATAATACTATTAAAAGAATTGAACAACTAAAAATAATTTACCAAAGAATGTACTTGATGTTATAACAATTTCAAGTAAAGAAAAATTATTTATATTTATTATTTGTGTGTTATTTCATATTTATTATTGTTTTAATTTTTTAAAATATTCCTTAATTTGAAATTTAGAGGTAATTGCTAATAAATTTATTTCGCACCTTTTCATATAGATATACTTCAACATATGAATATTTGAAATTACAGTGGTTGTCCTATAAACAACACAAAGTGCATACAAGTGAAACAAAACAAAGCAACTATGGTGCCAGCCATATAACTGTACCTATAACCTCATAGTCTTGAGTCTTGGAATACTACATTAAGCTAAAATAAGCAACTAATATCATTTATGAACAAATATCGTATTCTAAAATGCTGCTGACAACATTCCCATTTAAATGGTACAACTTTACAACAAATGATAACATAAATAATTATCAGAATGATGCTAGTTAATGTCATCAACAACATGTCTAGACAATGCAATGTTTTTTCAATGGTTGCATTGAAGTGCACTGTTTTATATTAGTATGCAATGTGCTTAAAAAATTTACACCTCTTGTCATAGACTGAATTATACACAATTTGGTAACATGTCTAAGGAATTGTTGGTTTTATATAACAGATATTGCAAGTTTACACAATTATCTCTATATTTACAATTACAAATACTGTGTGTATATACTAAAAAACTTTCAGAATGCATTCTGGTCCCTATACACCACTGTTTATAACACATACATATTTAAACATTTAATTAATGACAATGAACAGAATACCTTTGTCTTTC